CTGTAACCTGCAATGTCACTTTTCCTTACTTTCTTCATCAGCCCAGCCATAAGAAAATCTGTTGTGACATTTTAAATCTTTCTAGTGTATAAGGACAGAGTTAAATATTTTTTTATAAAATTTGGAGTGGTGTCCAAAGCTGAATTAAATCAGTGTTTTCTCAGAAAAATAATAACATGAAATAGGGGATCATAATTTCTTCAAAGAAGCAAAGACAAAGTCAGTGGAAGCTGACACTGATCTGTGACCACTTTGTCAGCAAGCCTTTCAAAGTCTGTACTAAGCTTAAAATCCAGTGAAAAATAGAGAAAAGTATTTACATCACGAGGGATGTAGGTTGTTGGAATTAGTTGGGGTTCATCTGGGCCGTGTCCTGAAACATGTGGAGAAAAAGGTGGAGAAACCTCGACTGAATCAGTAACTATTTCTGCAGCTCAAACACAGAAATACATAAAACAAAAATACCACCATCAGCAAAACTAAGCAGTCTGTGCAGGGACTGCCGCTCCCTTATCATGAAGGGTTCAAAGTCATCAATTCGTTTCTTTTTCTAAGTTTCTTATTGTTGTCCATTGGAGGCCCCCACCTTTTCCTCACAGTTCTGACCAGGTTGTTGAATAGTTTGTCCTTTAATTAGGATCTGCACAGGTGGGAGGATAGATGGGAGAGAAAGACAGAAAATAACCTTTTCTCTAATCCCTTTATCAGGCAATGAATACATTTATGTGCTGTTGCCTTCTCAGTGCCTAAGTGAGATGTACAGTCTGTTCTGACTGCACGTACTCTTCTTCTATCAGGAGGCCCAATGTGGTTATGTTATCATAGTGATGGCGCTGTTCTGGTGCACGGAAGCCTTGCCGTTGGCTGTCACAGCTCTCTTCCCTGTCCTGCTCTTCCCACTGATGAATATCATGGATTCCACGACAGTAAGTACATCTTTGCCTACTTAGTTATTGGTCCGCTTCTCTTATTCTGGGATTTCTAGAGTGGGGTGCGAAGAAGAGAGGATTGAACTGCTGTGACACAGGGAATTGGCTGTCCTCCTCATGGAACAGAACATGCATGAGCCAAGAGTGAACTCTGGGTGGAGCTGGTAATCTGAAATCAAAGCAAATTCACTGTTTAGACACAATCTATAGTTACTGGGTGCTTATGTCTTTGGGACAAGATCCTCCCTCAGAAAGAGCCTCCTCTCTAAACATTGGCTACTCGTCGCTATTTTCTCTCCCTTGTTCCATGTTCCAGGTCTGCCGGGAGTACCTGAAGGACACCAACATGCTTTTTATTGGGGGACTGCTGATGGCCATTGCTATTGAGAACTGGCACCTGCACAAGCGCGTTGCTCTGCGGGTCTTGCTTATCACTGGCGTCAGACCAGCCCTGTGAGTAACAGACGTGAAAACATGGCGTGATAAAGGACTTTATGGCATTACATCCTGTCTCAGAGTTGCCTGTAGTCTCCATTGTGAATCTGCAAACCATATCCTACAAATGCTTTTCTACAGTTGAAGTGAGTTAGTACCTGAGCAAACCTTGAAAATGGGGATCCTTCGATGTGTTACGAACCTGGTGCATCGTTTCTGAATCCCGGATGACTTTAGGTGGAGAAATAGTAACAAGAAAGTCAACACTGAAAAGACAAGGGTGCTGCTAGGTTTGGCCAGAATCACAGCTTTAGACAATCAGGAAAGACTACAGCTGAAACACAGAAAACATATACTCTCTAACTGTTACACTGATTGCAAAGAGAAGAGAAAATACGGGGATGTTTGTTTTGAAAACAGCAAATGTTTACCAGACTAGAACTTTAAACTACGCAGAGGCTACATGTCCCCATTTAATTTTGTCTCAGATCGTAAGAAGAGGGAATACTGAAGGAAATTACAAAGCAATAGAATAAAAATGCATACAAGATAAAGCTCTTTTCATCTAATATATAATCTACATCTCATCTAAAGAATAATTTTGAGACAAATAACATAGTAATACTGAAACAAGGATTAGAATTTTATATGAGTAAGAAGAGAGTCTTAAATGACAGAGGTGGGATAAAATTACAAAAAAAAGAGAGATCATCTTACTTATGGCTTAAACTGATTGCCATTTGGGATCAAATTCAGCTTGCAATTCCTCTTCAAAATATATTATAATACATTAAAATGTGTTATTGAGATGGCATGTCTTCCCCAGAAGCATGCAGAATAAGCAGGATACCGACTAGATAAACTGTTTGCTCCAAGCTTCTACTTTCCTAGTAATAAGAGTGTCAAAGCACGATGTGCTGAAACTGAAAAAAAAAAAAAAAAAATTACGTTAACTTTTACTGTGTCATTCACAAAGCAGAGGAGGGTAAGAGGAAGGGCTAGGTGTGAATTGCTCAGCATTTTCCAAACCCTGCATTCGTAAAAAAAAAAAAAAAAGGGCATTGCAGTGCTGAGTTCTGAACTGGCTTTTCCAAACGTTTTCATTTCAGACTTCTCATGGGTTTCATGGTTGTGACCGCCTTCCTGTCAATGTGGATCAGCAACACTGCCACCACCGCCATGATGGTCCCGATAGCACAAGCGGTGTTGGAGCAGTTCCACAAGTCAGAAATAGAGACTAGCACAGCTGGCCAAGCATCTGAAAACATCAATAAAGCCTTTGAACTGCAGGAAGAGCCAACTAAACCAGATAGCTCCAAAGAAACAGAGGCAAAAGGTGAGTGGGTTATGGGTGTTTTTCTCTTTGGGATAATGGAGGATGACCTGATGCCTTCTTCACTGTAATTATAGCTGCTAGTAAATTCTAAAAGAAGAATGCACCCAAAGCATCCTGACTGTATCAGACAGCATTTATGAGGCTCTTGCGTGAACCAGACAAAAGCACAGTAAGATCTACCGACTAGGCTGAAGTTAGAAATAAATTGAAAATATGAAGTGATGATAACTAATCAATAAACCGACAAAATGTATAAATTCTCCATTAGCTGAAGCCTCTACACTAGGGTCGCTATTTCCCTAATATATTTATGTTAGTTCAGTTATTATCCACTGTGTAACTTAGCAGATAATAGGGAATTTCCAAGGGAAAATTTCTGGCCTATTTCATGCCGGAAGGTTAGAGATTAAAATGATCTTTCTAATCCAAAAATATACAATCATGCAACAACATCTCTTTACCAGCTGCCTCGCGCCTTCCCATCTTTGAGATGACCCAGGTGTTTCTGAACGTAAATCTCAGGGCCGGCAGTCAGGTTCCGGTACAGAACAAGTTCCCTTCAGTCCAACTCCTCTGACTGTTGCACCCCCCTGAACTCCTGCCTCTTTGCCCTCCATGTGCAGCTCAGACAATGCCCGAGTTCACCAAGAAGCGTCAGCAGTACGTTCAGACTTTACCACGTGTTTCAACCTCTTCTTCTGAAAAACTCCTCTGTATCGAGACAACCAGTGAAAAAGCACAGAAGGTCAAACAGTTAACAATGCTAGCCTTAAAATGAGGAAATTTGTCTCCTTCAGCTTCGAGTCCATTGTGTCCTAGCCTGGAAATACTGAATTACAGCAGGCATAAGATCTTTTTCTACCCAACTTAGCTTCTCTAACTCCTTTGTTCCTGTCTTGGGACCTAGGTGATAGTCATGTCCTGACAATTGAGGAAGACAGAAAGAGAAATGAAAAACTGCTAGAGGAGAAACACAAGAATTTCTGCAAGGGAATGTCTCTCTGTATATGTTACTCAGCCAGTATTGGAGGGATTGCAACTCTGACTGGGACGACACCAAATCTGGTACTGCAAGGACAAGTTGATGAGTAAGTCTGGTTGAATTCGGGATTACCTACCCACTAAACTGCATCCCTCTGCTACAGCTGACTGCCAGCCAACACGGAGAAGGAAAATACCAATTTGGTGACTTTTGTCAGGAAGTTAGCTTCTCTCCCTTAGTGGGCCTCACAGTACCTCCACTATTCTGAATCATTACATAAATTCAAAAGAGGGTGCAGAATTTTGGAAGCTTAACAGCCATCTGCATGTTACAGGCTCTTTCCTAAAAACGGCCACATCATCAACTTCGCCTCTTGGTTCTCCTTTGCCTTCCCCACCATGGTCGTGTTACTGGTTTTGACGTGGATTTGGCTGCAGATACTGTACTTGGGCTTTAAGTAAGTACCCTTTACACGCTGTAATCCGGCTGACGGGCATGTTATCAAGGGCTCATTACATGTTGTAACACAAGCGATACTTTTATTGATGAGGTTAGGTTTGAAAGTCAGACAGCAAGTGGCAAAGTCCTCATGTACAACAGAGAGCGGCAGACCAGCATATGAATTATCTGTTAAAATACTGCAACTTTTTCTCCGAGGAACCCGATCAAATCCCAGCTAAACATACTCTGTACATGGAAATAGGAAGTTTTAACTGCATATAACCTGTTCTGCAGCATTGCTTTCATGTCCTGAAAAATTGTTGTGCTTCCAACCATGAAACTGATTTCTACATATAGCTGGTAAATACCTTTGTGACGAGAGTTGCTACAGACCTAGAGGATTAGTATTGTGCCAGTTCCTGATGCTAATCACCCCATACAACCGGCTTGCATTACCTACCTGTTTAATACTTAGCCTGTCACTTTTATTTTATGCCCAGCCTCTATTCTTTTAAATCAAAAGAGTGCTGTAACACCCGAAATGGTACTTTTGTCTTCAAATTCCTCTTTTTAAATTCACCTTTTCTGTCATTTTAAAAACTTTGCCAACTGTTTACTTCCTGGTGGTCATATAGCCTTGTCAGTCACACTAACATTGTCACTATTTCCCCCTGTATCCAGATCACACATCTATTTATATTTAGATCATGAGCTTTTAGGGGCAGGAAGGAAGCTCCTCTCTGATCATCTTGGCAATACACAGCGCAATGCAGTTACTGTCCAACACCCGTGGCTGCTGCTGCCGTGACAATAATATATATAATTTCTATATGCAAATATAAAAGACAATATGAATGAGCATAAAATCTAAATTCTTACCTCTGGGGATATGTGGCAAATTTCTCTGATATTTTGTGTCTCTTCTAGTTTTCGGAAGAATTTTGGTTGTGCTGCAAATGCCTCTGCAAAGGCCAAGGAGCAACGGGCCTATGACATTATCAAGGAAGAGAGCAAGAAACTGGGCTCCATGAAATTTGCAGAAATAGCAGTTTTGATCCTCTTCATACTACTGGTACTACTCTGGTTTACAAGAGACCCTGGTTTCATACCAGGTTGGGCAACAGTTCTTTTCAACAAAAACGGTACAAGGTATCACCACTTTCCCCCCCCTCACTTTGAATAAAAATGAAGTAGGCTAGATTTCATAAAAATTAAAACACAGCTAGACTAAATTTCTGACTGATCTATTGCAGCTATGTCACTGATGCTACAGTTGCCATCTTCATCTCAGTTCTGCTGTTCATCATCCCTTCCGACTTTTCTAACAATGAAGGAGACAAAAAACAAACAGGTGAGTTTACTGAAGGCAACTAAAATCAGCTGTCAGAATAGGTACACAGGAAGTTTTAGATTTACAAATGACGTTTCAATTCAAACTGCTCCTTCTGCATAGCTACAGCTGTATGCTTTAGGCTAGGCAAGGCTTATATCTCATGAAAGTTCTCTGGTTCTTGTAGTTTAACTACGGAGGAAATTTATCCAGCAGTGTTGCAGGCACTAGTATACACATATAGTCTATACACACTACACATATATAGTGTGTACATGTAAGTAAAACTTCTGAAGCTGGAATCTTCAGGAGACAATACATGGCTTAACAGAAACACATACAGTTCTGCAGATGTGTTGCCATACTTCAAAGTCACTCTTACCTGTATTCCACTATGCTTCTTGGAGCAGCTACAGATCATTTATTAGTATTTTTGCAAGTCAACTTTTAAAAATCTTTGTTCGTGAGGCTCTCACCATTTGCTTTAGGATATAATTCCACAGTCTACTTGACCTTGCAGGCAGAAGTGTTTCCTCATGGTCAGACTAAACTCACCTCCCACCAAGTCCTCCTTTCTTTGGAGGATGCCATATGGCTTACAAAATCTTTTTTGGATTTTAGGTGGCAAGTCAAAGGTCCGAGCACCTCCAGCTCTCTTGGACTGGAAAGTAGTTCACCAGAAAATGCCATGGAACATCGTGTTTCTGCTGGGAGGTGGCTTTGCCTTAGCCAAAGGCAGTGAGGTAACATTCCTCTGCTTACCTGGTATTTGTGTCTTCCTGGGTGTTTTGCATCTCCCTCTCCAGGCGTGCTCTCCCAGAACACAAGAGGGCATGCTGGGAGCACCAAACGCGCATTTCTTCAGCTGGTGCCTGTAGGACAGACTTCACCATCCTCAGGAGGAGTCCTGAGGATTAGAACAAATCTTTATTGTTGCCTATACTGGGACGGTACTACCAGTCAAGGCATCATGATTAACCGTGTTTCTAGAAAAATGGATGATTAAGAAACTACCCCAACACATTAAAGGTTCTATTAAATAAAACTTAATTGATGTGGCGAGCATGAGGAGATAATGTGCCCAGGATGTTTCTCCAAACTGTTTCAAACAAACTACTTATGGAAACATGATTTAAATCAAACTACTAGGAGACAAATGTAGAACTACCTAGAGAACCTTCAGGAGCAGATAAAATTGCCTGGCTGTCAGACCGAAGGATGTGCTGATGTACTTCTGCAGGTATCTGCCAGGAGTCCAGTGCTACAAATTATTCTTCAGTAATGACTTAGGTGATGGAACAGACAACACATTTATTAAATCTATAGACAGTAACAAATTGAAAAAAGGCTTCAAGTGCCTGGAAATACTAGTTTAGAATTCAAAGATCACAATGACCTGGAAAAGCGCTTCTAGAAACCAAGGATGCAACTCAATATGAGAAATAAGAAGAAATAATCAGGTATCACAAATGCAAGATGTGGGAACAACTGAACGTTTTAAAGCTGTTCATACACCCTATTCTTGTCAATATTTTTATATTGCTACTGAGAAAAAAATCAAACTGGAAGCTATAGGTAGGACCCTCATACATAAGACATGTAAAATACGATCCTTCCTCTCAGGACTAGTAAGTCTTCAAGAACAGTAATGTATTCAGTTTTGGATATCAGTGTTCAACAACATGTGGGCTATATGAAGAAAGTTTAGAGGAAGGTAGTAAGAATGTTCAGATCTCTGGGAAACATGTTTGGAAAAGGAAAGATGCAAGAAATTACATTAATTTATTCTAAAATAAGTCATCAAATACATAAAAGCTGCTGCAGGAAGGAAGCTAGTATACTTTTATATATATATATA